CTTCCGATCTCCCCAAAACCCCAAAACCCCAAAACCCCATTAGAGTAAATAGACTAGAATTTATGAAATCAAGAATTAGATAATTTATTCTCACTAATTCAAAGAATGGTTGTTCTTTGCACCAAATTTTCATCGGTATTCTATCTCATTTCAACCATTTCATGATTTTCTTCAACTAATACAACATCCCCAAAACATTAAATCAGAAGGTTAAGTTAGCTTTAGACACTTTATTCGATTGTATTAAAATCAATCTTATAGCCTAGTAAACAATTACCACCAAGGGCCTCAACTCTTGATTTTACAATTTCATTAGCATCATCAAGAACTTTTTCAATAATAGTTGGGATGTCATCGTCTATTTTTAATAGTTTTACTTATCTAATCAAATGAACATCAACTATTCCTAGATACTTTTTGATAATCATTTTTGGATAAACAGACATGGGCAAAAGCTTTATATGAGTTTTTTTGACTATGCCATTATCGACCTCCTTTATTTTTTTATGCTTAGTTGTACACTTACAAAAGCTAAACAAGCCACCAGTTCTTCTCTTTCTTTTTTATTTTTGAACTTAAGGCTGATTCTCTCCTAAAGATAGATCAATTTATATTCGTTGATCTTCTCCAATTTTCATTCCTTATTCATCTATTTAATCTTAAATTTCTTTAGGCATATCTATATCTGTTCTAATGCTGAGTTTCTACTTTTCTTGAATACTTATATCTATCATTTAATGCTATTCAGTCCTTAAGACAGCACCTGTGAATATGATGTCTACATAATTGTTGTCCTAAATTTTTATTTAATTTCTGAGAGCGCAGATAACACCAGGAGCATGATCTTATTATATTAATGTTTATACCAGTTCTAAATGCGCTTGCTACATTATTCTATTGAAGGCTTGAGTGATATTATTATTCTCTCGCTCTTCAAAAAGGAATCTGCAAGCTTTATAAATCAAGAAAACATTGTTTGGATTTATAGTCTGCCAATTGTAATTGAAGAGATCAAATTATGTATTTAAAAGTACAAGATTAGGCGGCAATAAAGGATCTAACAAACTTTTGAGGACGTCCAAATCTTTTTAGTCATCAAGTTAAATAAAGAATGATGTTTTAACCTGAGTATTTCTCACAAAGGGCTGATGCTTAGCAGAATCAATGATTTTATTATCAGCTATGAAATCATAAAATTCGAAATGCTGATTTGCTGAAGTTTGATGAATAAGGATAGGTGATTTTGGCTATTAGTCTGCATTCTATTTGTTAAAGCTAAAATTTTCATTCAAATTGTAGAAGTCTACCATCTACTAAAAAGTTAACTCTTTTTGTTGCAAAGTATATCTTCCTCTGATATTCTCAATTTCCTAGGCTCTATTATCATGAGTAGGGGTTACAATCATTTCATTGTTTTCAATACTTTGTCTTTTAATCACACCATCTATATTTAGCTTCAATTTAATCTGAGTTAATTATGCTTAGTTTTTACTATCAATGGCGTTTTCATCCTTTAAAGAAACATCGTCATAATCCTCTTTGAGATATTGTACATCCTAATCACCATGGTCTTTGGGCAATAATTTCTTAGGGCTAATTTTAGGATGTTCTATCATGTTTTGCTCTTCTGAAATCCTTCTAAGCTCACCTTCTTTTTCGATAAATTCTTAAAATCTATCATCGTCCAGCGTGGCCTATTTTGATGGCGATTTCTTCAGCCATTCTAAATTTATATTTTCATTTGTTTTTGCTTATTGCTTTAAATAAGTCTGGCGCTTATGCTTTTGCATGAAATAGTAAGGCGTTCTAATAACAAAAATTTCACTCTCAAACGACTATTAGATATAGAATTACGACAATTTTTGCAGATTTTCAAAGAACTGCTTGTTGCTAATTGAGTCTTGAAATATTTGAGTATTTTATTTAATTTTGAGTGGTTAAGGTATTGGAAGTGCTCTTAGGCATAATGCAGTTCCAGTTGCAATTCCAATAATACAATCTTCAGCAAGTACAATATTAATCCTTAGACTAAAAATTGAGTTTTTACCAAGAAGCTTAATTTTTTTTATTAGTTAACTGTGAAGATGATACTCTAAGAAAAATACTTTATCACTAACAGTAATAGCGTGCTATTCTCCCTTGAGATTTTTCTTTTGCTTGACTAGTCTCGCTTCAACATACTTTGAAGTTCCAATTATATTTAAGCCTTCGGGAGGATCAACAGAGGCAATAATTATCTCTGGAACGTAGTCTTTATTGCATTCTAGGCACTTGAATAGATGAAGTTTATTGGCTAGTTTTTCAGCTCCTTAATTTTTATTAATAATATGGCAGAATTGACAATTTGATCTCAAAGGCCTTAAATTTTGATTTGACATATGCTGATCTTTTAATTTCTAGGAATATTTTATCTCATTTATTTATGAGCTTACAGCTTTCACTAGCTAAATTTAAACTGGTTCAAGTTAAGGTGAATATTCCATTGGTGTTTTCATTCTGATAGCCTAACTTTTCATTATAGACTCTTTTTTAGTTGTAAATTCCTTTATTTTTACAGCAGTACCAAATACATTAAGGATCATTACATCTCTGTATATACTTACTACCTCTCTATATCCAATGATATGTGTGCAATTCATAGAGAGAGCATTCTTAGTGATTTCTTCTCTCAATTCAGCCCACCAACTATCTCTTTCAGTTTTCTTAAGTGATATAAGCCTTACAGATCGTACAGAAACTGTTGAACCAAACCACATATGGGCTTCATCTGGAAAAGTATTTGAGGTAATAAATTGAATTCTAGGTCTCTCGTCCTTCTCTTCTTCAATCAATTGATAGTTGAATTGCTTGTAACTTTATTCATTTTAGAATTTACTCTATCCTTTGCTTTATTTGGTAAGATTTTTAGGGAAGTTGTTCTTTTTAGACTATGATAGCAGAGAAGACTATGCTTTTTATTCTTCATCATCTTATTAGATCAAATAAACAGCTGTGCCATATCCTCTTAGTACGATTCTTTTACTCTTAGCTCCTTCATTATCAAGCACTTGTCTATATGAAATTATCGCATTCCCACCTCTTTCAACCACAATTTTGCCCAATTTTTATCTCAGTTTAAGGCATCCTTCCTATATATGTATCATATTGTCAGCCTCTTTGTCACTTCTCTTAAAATCAACAAGTTCTTCGACAAATCCAAGCATTTATTTGACGACGCATAGAGGAGGTGAAGATGTAGAGAAAAATGAAACTAAAGTACTTGATAAGGTCTTGGCTATGCTTTCATCTCTGACAAAAGTAAGTTTGATTTCTACTAAAAGTTCACCTCTTATCCCCTATTGTATATCAAAAATTGGAAACCAGCATTTGATAGTCTGATTCGTTCTTCTGTTAAAAAGTGAGCTCAAATCTATATTGATAGTGCCTATTTCATCATCACTGTCTATAACATCCTTGTCTATAACCTTGATTTCCATTACATTTTCAAGCAACTCTTCATCATCTATTATATCAAAGGATATTATTGCATCTTTCCACTTGGGACATAGATTATTATACACAGTGTTAGTCTTTCCAGTATGTGCTTTCCCGAAATGCAACTCGCAATAAGCATCAGTTCTATTCCTACTTTTCTCCATAATAGGCAAATTTCTAGCCTCATATATGATACATTTCAACTCGTAAGGCATTTTTTCTAGATTTTATGCTATTTGTATAATTATTAAGCTTAATAACACATATATAACTCTATTTATACTGATGCGGGGTTTTGGGGTTTTGGGG